CCCCCCCACTTCTTTCTCTCTCTCTGCCTCTACTACCCTCCTGGCTCCCCTTCCCATGCTCTGAATAAACTCTATTCTATGCTTTAAAAAAAAAGCACATATTAAAGAAACTCGCTCAACAACTAGCATTTAACCCCAAATGAGCGAGGTTTTGCATCACTGCTAATCTTCCAAACACAAAAGTCTGTCACTGTCTCCTAGGAAAATAATGTCACCAGTATCTGCCTTGACTCACTTATTTTTCTCACCTTCTCCTTTCTCTCCACCCCTGACATCTACTGCCAAACAGAAAAAAAAAATTGTCACAGATAAACAACAGTCCTATAAAGTCACATGAGGACAGAATGATCCCACTCCAGACACTGGCTTGTCCAGTGAGCATCAACAGGGGTAGAATGTGGGGGATGTAAGACTTGAGCTGAAAGAGATGAAACTCAGGAACATCAGGGATCACAGGAGTCAGAAGCAGCCCTCTCTTTGACCCTTCCACCGAGAACTGCCCATCTCCTGGCACAGTCTGGCCCTTCTTAGAACAATCCCTGACTTACCAGACAGCCTGTCTGTTCTGAGAATGACTCAGCCAATTAATTAGGAAGTGGACAGCATTTCAGAAGTCCTCAAATTTAATGGCATTTGTTTTATGATTCCTTTTGATTAGTCCTGTACTAAAGTGCTAAATGACTGAGCAATTCTATATTATAATATCTGACTGTATGGTCCATTTAATAATTTTATAACACAATTCAAGCTTATTCATTTATTGATAAGCAGAGGCCTACTTTTTAAAAAAAAAACAGTACATAGGAAACTCCTGTTCTTCAAAATAAAAACAGGAAAGTTTAAGAGTTGGTTTTGAACTAGTAAGTCTCCAGGTAATCCAGTCATCCAGGCAAATTAAGTAAAAATCAGGAGGGAAGCTCCTCGTGCATCTACTCTCATCTTCATAATAAAATCAGTGTGGAAGACTTTTCCTGAGGTAAAATCCTGTCAACCCTTGTCATTGATGTCTCAATTTGGATTTAAAATTCCAAAACAATTCTAACAATTAGAAGTTATGAAAATAATTGTTTTATTTTGAAGAAATAAATCCATCTGTTTGAAAGTGCGAGTAATAGAAGGAAAAAAATCAGACGATGGGGAAATGACACTCTTACAGAATATAACATTTTAGAATTGGTGGGTGCGAAGTTGTTGGGACATGTTTCCCAGAGCATTTGCCTAGCATGGACAAGGTCCTAGATAAAATCCCTAGAGACACAAAAGTAAATAGATAAGCAAGCAAGCAAACATACCATAATTTCAACTATGAAAAAAATACAAATTGGGGTTTCCCCAACCAAGATATTTGAAATTTAGACTTTCTGACAGCTAGCAATCGACCCGTCTCCTGTGGTATGTTTCTGTCATAGTACAAATGCCCTAAAAATAATACACGGTGTTATCTTAGGCCGTGTGCATAAAGGGTGTATGAAGCACAAATAACTTTTCTGTTTAGACCTACATCTCCTCCTCACTCTCATTTCTTATAACCATGCAAATATTCCAAAATCCAAAGTCTGAAATGTGTCTAGCCCCAAGCGCTACTCACGTTGCTAATGTTTTGCTGTGTCGTCTTGATTCTCTGAATCTCGGGAGTGACTGCCACAGTGGAATAGTTGGAAAGCATTTTCTCAGCTTCATCTTTATACTTTTTCTAAAATTATAAAATGATTACAAATTGAAAGCTCGGTGTGGTGGATAGGGGAAAGGGATATGGCACCACCTCCAACTCTACTACACCACATGGCTGCAACTCATAATTTAAGATTCAAAGTAGCTGTTGACAAAGTCATTAAAGTCAAGGGTGTTGGTAAACAGTCTGTCACAGCAGCCGTTGAGACACCTCAGAGAGACTGACTTCTGTGTTTCTCCTAAACTTGGGACCTACTCTTCTATGTGCAAACAAACTCAGAGTCTGTCCCAGTATCTCCAGCACTGTGACCCACCTCTCTACATCTACCTTGTTACAAGCTTCTGGACTGGTGCTTTGTTTCCTACTTATGGTAAAGATCAATGGCTGAGGATAACATGCTATTATATCTGTAGGTAAGATTATTACACATCTCAAATTCCTCTCCAATAAATGAGCTACAACGGGCTCCTTTAATAAAGCTTGGGTCTATGTTATGATATAATTGACATCGTTGTAAATACACAACACACACTTATTCAATCAGTCTCGCAAATAGATATCATTATCGGATGGAGGAAACGAGGCACCAGCTAGTAATAGTGGGAATTGAGACTCAACTCAGGCATTCTAGTTAGTGTGGGTTACTGTAATGCACACTGCCAGTTACTAAGTGAAGTAAACACTGGACTTGGTGACATGCAGCGTCCTTCCTCACTGACTCACATCTCTGTTTACCTGTTTCATGCACTAGCCTAAGATTAGCACTCAACTTATGAAGACACAGCCAGTGTCTCAAAGTTCATTGTCTTCATGCAGCATCGGGTATGAGGAACAGAAAACCATGATTCTATTCTAACTGCTGCACATTCCTAGGTAACTGAGGAGCAGCCAGGTCCCTACCCTTACCACAATGGTTTAACCAGAATTTGAACAATTGTGCCCAATTTGGGTTGAAATTATTTCTATCATAAATTCTGTTAATCAAATTTGATTCCCTGCTTCTAGAACAATCTCATGCTTCTCATTCTCCTCTGTTACTTTTTCTACTGGGATGCAATTCTCAGGTAACTTTAGAGCAAAGATATGATTAAATAACGTGTATTTCCCTTTAAATCAGATTTTACAGGCAACTTGTTTCTCTATAAATATTTTCTTTCGAGATATTATCTTTCTCATATTTTTTCAAAAGAAGCAGTATCTGTCTTTCCTTCACCATTATTGCTCACTGGGTTACTCTTCCCTCTTCCCATCCAATCCTTCTTTCCTCTACACACAGCCTCCCTTTCAGTCCTCTCTCCCTCCCTTCCAGCCCCCTATTTCCCTCCCTCCCTACCAACCCCTACTCCATTCTGTGTACATGTCTGTGTGTGTGTATGTATGTGTGTGTGTTATTTTCATGTGCACATGCATACATATTTAAACCCAGATTCTTCATATGTGAGAAAACATGAAATATTTATCCTTTTCAGAATGTTATCACTTTTCTTTTATATCCAGCTTGTTAAGTCTTTGGAGAATATGTGACAGGTATATTTGGCAAATAAGTTTTTTCAAAGAAAACTTAGCTCTTCTTCTAATTTTTAGTTAACATTAATTACCAAGTGATAATCTTCACTACTTCATTTTATTGAGAGCTATTTAAAAATAGTATTCATTGTGAAATGGACATAAAATATTTTTGGAGCTATACTTCCTGTTGTATGGACAAAGACTATTGAAGAAATGTATGAAATGAAGTTAAAAATAAAAATAAGGTCAAAGTTTTGTTGGCCTCAAAAAAGTTCCCCTTTTTAAACCACGTGGGATTTTGGCACTTCATAACGGCTACTAAATTAGAACGATAGTCACTGTCCTAATTAGTAATATATGTCATGTTTGGTCATTAAGGTCTTAATAAAAATGCTCTAACGTTTAAGACAATATCTTCAGAAAGATGTCAATCAAATACTCTAGAAGCAAGCGGCTACCACTTAAAGTACATCACTGCAAGCATCTTCATCCTCTACCAACCTGGCTGTAGATTTCAGATGCCCTCTTGGCTCGAAGCATATCTGGGATATCCATGTTCACTTGCATTCCTCTCCCCTTAATTTCATTCTCCAAGTCTTTCTTATATTGCTTCTAAAAGAACAGAAAATAATCTCAGCTCTTTGCTGAACCTTCCAGGGTCTTATTCTTCTTTATGTGTTTTAACAGCAAGGTGACATTTACACTCTTCCAGAAACTTTATGTTCACACCATCCTTACCTGGCTAGCCATCTCAGATGCCCTCTTAGCTCTCTGAACATCCAGAGTGTCTATGCTGACCTGCATTCCTTTTCCTTTAATTTCTGTCTCCAGATCTCTTTTATAGTCTTTCTGTAGAAAATAAAATACACGGTGTTCTACAGTCATTTCACAACGGTGCTGAAAAAGCATGATGCCATTTTGACATCAGGACTATACATTATGAAATTAGATTAGACCTTATCCTTTTATTTCTGTATAACAAGATAGAAGTATGACACACAGTAATATATTTATATATAATCAGGAAGCTTTGTCTACTAAACTGCATTTAAAAAAATAAAAACAGAGCTAGACTGGGAAAATTTTTGTATCCCAATGATAAACTTGAAGATATATTGGTGACTGTATAATTTGGTTGGTGACTAGACTATCAATAAAGTGACTATAAAACTGTTGCTGTTTTCAATTATTGCAACTTATTTCACTTACGTTATAAACTACTGGGTTTATATAATAGCACAAGTCTCTGAACCCTATGGGGCTTAAATAAACCATTCTACCCTAACCTTGGGTTTATGTGGTTAGTTCAGGGATGGTGTGCACTTCCTTTACCATGGAGAATAACAGAAAAGCCTTTCCTTTTCTTCCTGGTTATGGATGACAACAGATACACACTGTTTGGGCACTAAGTCAGGAAGGAAAACTGAACCATATGACCCTTAAATGATGTATAACCTCTCAGAATGACTGGATATGTTCTGGAAAATGTGTCACTAGGCAACTTCGTCACTGTATGAACAAAACACCTCCAAACTTGGATGGTTTAAAACAACACATAACAGCTTCATTCCAAGAAAACAAATGTGCTGAGAGCTTCTGTCAAGAGTTTACTTTGCTAATATTTCATTGGCTACAAAAAGTCATACAGTTAAGCCCACAGAAACGGTTCAAGTTTGAATATTGAAGGACTCTAGCCTAACAATATATCATATTGACATTATTTTTAAGCTCAGCTTTGGATATTAAAAATTAATAGCAAAATCCCAAACTTTAGTCACAAAAGATTTGAGAACCTATCAATTTGGCAAGATGGATCATGTGGAACTAAAATTATGCAAATGAGTTATGTAGAGTATAATGATGATGGCAACTCCAGAAACTGCCCTGGGCCTCGTGGAACATAGCTGACTCCTCTAGACCTATTTCCCCTCAGTTTCTACTCATTCCATATTTCTTGCTCTCGGAGGATTCTTTCAGTTGGATTGAACAGTCATTCCAATAATAATTTCAAAAGTTCCTTTTTTTTAGCCCTGGATGCCCACTCTGTTGCAATACGCTCTAATCTGCTACAGTGAACTTGATGCAGCCTCTGACACAGAATAAGAAAGGTTCATAAAAGTATAACTGTTGTGGTAAAACAAAAACAAACCAACAAAACTGAACATTAAGTGGGCAAGAAGTAAGACAGAATCCAGGCTAAGAATTGACTACATCTGTTGAAATCATACTATGCCCAACTTTAAACCATTCCATATTATATAAAACTGGCTATTTAGGCCTTGCCCTCAGACATTCCATTATGCTAGAAGCTTCTGACTGTTTTGACTGTGGCCCCAGGCGGCTCTCAAAGCTACCTCCTCTATCATACACCCCTCATCTAGCACACACTGATCAATGGCTCGTTCCGAGGTCTGGAAAGGGAGACAGCTGCGAAGTTTTGTAGGAAGAATTGGAACTGTGGACTCATGTGTGTGCTAAATTACAGCAGGAGAACTCAAGAATTTATGGGGTAGACAAGATTAAGCAAAGGTATAATGTTCTCACCTGGACTTCGTAAGCCATGGATACCTAACACTGTGGCAGAATGGCCCCAACCAGCCTATAACTTCATACCTGACGTGAGTCAACAATCAAGTACTCCCTGGCCTGGCTCAGTCCCCTGCCCTTTGCCACAGTTACCTAACTGCTTATTCATCTACCTGCTCAACTCATCTGGACCTGAACCTGATGAACTCTTTCCTGCTCCTGATCCATTTTCTACTTGAGACCCAGTTTTGCCTTTACACCTCTGACTTCTGCAGCTTTGCTCTTAAATCTGACTTCAACTCTACCGGCATTATTACCAGAAGCTCCCTCTCTTCACTGATCTGGTTCAGTTTTATCTATATAGACTCTTTCTTAGCCCACTTCTAAAAAACCTCTTGAACTGTGAACTTAGCTGCAGCCTCTTTTACTTGAATTTGTTCTTTAACACATGCACATATATTCACTCATTAATGTTATATATATATGTGTGTGTATGTATGTGTGTGTGTGTACATGTGTGTGTACATGTGTGTATGGAGGTATACATGCTTACACAAAAACACACACATACATACACTGTATGTGTATGATGCTTGAGCATTAACAGGAATTAAGATTAGAATAAAGAACTTTCATTCACCTTGTCTAAGCTACTAAGGTGGGTGAATTTTATTACAAATTATAGTCATTGAAACTGCTAAACCTTATGAATTGAATAACCTTGCTATCCAATACATGCTGAAAATATCATTGACAAACATGTCCATGTATGTCTTTAATGTAGCTCACTCATGACAGCATTAGTCTTGGTAACAAATATGGTACGTTAGTTCCAAGTGGGGAAATGTAAATGGATTTAGAATAGTGTTACAGGGTGTAATTGATGATCAGAATCAAAGTGACAGCTAAGATTTTTGTGGTTCCATTTCAAGAGGCAGAAGAGAAATTAAAGGTTCTGGTTTGGGCATGTTATGTTGAGATCTTACTACACATGTAGACAACAGATGTTTCAATGGACATAGTCACATCCATGTTATAAATCACACAATGTTTCTAAAAGAGCTAGGCAAAGTATAGAAAGTAATGAAAAAGAACTTGCTATAGTAAATAAATATAAAGCAACGGAAAGCATACAGCATTCAAGACTTACTTGGGTCTCTGTATATACAAGATTGTGTCCGTCTACATATCATACATACAGATCCAGACGTCTCTACGATAAACTTCTAACAATGGCTAGCTACACTGCAAGAGCCACGGTAGCTCACAGAGTAGCCCCATGAAGCCCTACCACCAAACCTTGAGAAAAGCAAATCACTCTCCTTAATCTGCACCTCAGCTTTCTAGATTACCTAAATGTAAACACTATCCAACTCCAGTGACTTGTTCATACCCTAAAAATTATTTGGGGAGGTTCAGGAAGCATGGTGCCTAATCTCAGGTATCTCCCTAGAAAATGCACATATGGTCTGATATCTACAGCTCTGTTTTGCCCACATCTTCATGTATATTGCATGAAGAGAAGGTGGCACTGAATTAATTTACATGGTCAATCAAGATATACTATGTCTTAACCCAAAAGCTGACTCTGGAAATCTCAAGCAGTGGATGTAAGTGAGCAAAGGATGTCTTCTAAACACACAACCACACAAAATCAAAGATTACACTCAAATTAAAACCTCAAATTATGATCTTTATATTTCCCTCAAAACATTGGAAACACAAATATGCCAAGCCGAATCTGAGATATCCTAGAGAAAATGCCCTACAAAAGTATTTATCATACCCTAGATTAACATGTATTCCAGGAATAATGTGCATCAGGGTGTGTGTCCCTGTATGCATGTATGTGTGTGTGTTCTATTAAAATGGCTTCTTCCAAGCTTCCTTTGATGCATTTAAAGGTTATGAGCGAGTGGAGGCTATAAATTTCCAAATAAATGTCATGTTTCGAAGTGATTTCCATTCCAAACGTCAACACTGTCCATGGAGCTTTGAGAGGTTCCATGCACTCATCCTGTGTTGGTATGATTTGCTAAGTACAAACACTAGAGTTTCAAGGTCTGGGCAGCAGCCCTCTCCACTCACCTCACTGGCTATCTTGGCAGCTCTTTTGGCACGTTGTATTTCAAGGGTATCGGTGTCGATTTGCATCCCCCTCCCTTTAATTTCCAACTCCAGGTCCTTTTTGTATTCTTTCTATAAAAGCAAAATTCAACAGAATTTAGTCACTCTGTGGGCAACATATACTTTTGCAGTCAATGATACCAACACAAGCGAACAATCTAAACATTTTTAAATGACAAAGAGAGGGCTGAGAGATGGCTCAATGGTTAAAACACTTGTCATATAAGCAGTAGAGTTGAAGTTTCAATTCCCCAGAAGCCACAGAGACTCAACCAGACTCATGAGTGAGCTCTGGGTTCAGCAGAGACCCTCAGATAATAAAGGAGACAGCAATCAAAAAAGATACTCAACAACCACTTCTGGCCATATGCCACACACATGTGTACTCACACATATGCCAACACACATACATGAATGCACACACAATACACATGCACTTATGAAGAAAGGAAAAAGGTAGTGACCAATATCCAAGAAAATGCAATGTTCATTGCTATGCATGAGCTCTCAGATCTAAGTACATTGTGAAGAATACAAAATTAGAATGACTATTCTCAATGGAGATTTTTTATACTGTTAAAAAGTCATCCATCAAATGAGAGTCTTCATAGAGTGCAATCTTGGAGACGGGGAGAAATGCAAAGGATTCAGATGGATTTGTGCTATAGGAAGACCAGGAATGAGGCCAGCACACTCAGCAGCCATGCTATGTAACACTACAGATGATCCCTATCATTCCTGAGTGTCTGTGAAACAGGGGGAGGGGGTGTGTGAGCATGGCTCCATGCAAGATCCACAGTGAGGAAAAGGAGGTAGTGACAGAGCCCAGTATCAGTGAGCTTAGGAACAGAGGAGTGGCCTTCTCTGCTCTTTGTTCCTGTATAGCCACCTTTTTTTTTTTTTTAAGATCTGGTTTGTTGCTATTCCCACTGCTACTCAGGATTCAACTGTCCCTGCCATTGTACGTATACAGTAAACTTTCTAGATATAATTGACAAACAATAACAAGATTGACCCCTCAATGAATACTGGCTTCATTGTTGTAACTAAAGATTGCTTCTGCTACTAGCAATCTTCCCTGTTTCCATATGAATTTCAAAATTGTTTTCTCTATTTCTATGAAGACTGCAAACAGGAACATTTTGACTTCTTTACCTATGCACACCACTTGTATTTCCTGATCTTATCTTACTGTTCTATCAAAATTCTAAGCACTGTATTGAACTGGAGAGGAGATAGTGGCTAGCTCTGTCTTGCTTCTGAATTTAGTAGAATTGATTTGAGGCTTTCTACATTTAGTTATGGGTTTGGCATATATAAAATTGCCTTTACAACGTTAAAGTAAGTTTTCTCCAATCCTATTGTCTCTAAGCCTTTTACTATGAAGGGATGTTAGATTTTGTCAAAAGAATTTTCGTTGTCTACTAAGACAATCATGTCTTTAAGTCCATTTACATGTTTTATTACATTTATCAATTTGCACATGTTAAACAACCCTGCATCTCTGGGATAAGGTCCACTTGGTCATGGCGAATGATATTTTCATGCATGCTTGTGCTCAGTTTGTTGTGATATCTCCCTATCATTTCTAACTTTATCAGTTTGGATCTTCTCTTTCTTTTAGGTAATTTGGTTAAGGTTTGGCAATCCTGTTTATCTTTTCAATGAACCAACTCTTCATATAGTTGGTTCTTTGTATTGGCTTATTTGCATATTTGTCTCTAGTTCTTCCATTTCTGCCCTGGTTTTAGTTATATGTCCCATCTACTACTTCATTTCGATTTGTTTTTGTTTTTCAAACTTTTTTAATGCATTATTAAATATTCTATCTGAAGTCCATCTCATTTTTAATGTAAGTACTCAGAACAATACATTTCCTTCTTAGGATTTTTTTCATTGCATCCTAGAGAATTTAGTTATATTTTCATCTTTATTTAATTTCAAGACCATTGTATTTTCTCTTCAATTTCCTCAATAGTTCAAATACTTGACAACTGAATAGTTCAATCTCCATGAGTTTGTATGTCTTCTTGTTATTTATCTTTTGGTATTTTTTTGATATTTTTGTTATTTGTTGATCAAGTTTTTCTTGATTGTGGTCAGATAGAATACATGGAATTATTTCAGTTTTCCTAAATGCATTAAGACTTGCCTTGTGTATTAGATATTATCTATTTTAGAGAAACTTCGGTAGCATACTGAAGTGGGACGATGCACACTCTGTAGTGTTTGGGCAGAATGTTCTGTAAGTACATAGCAGGTTGATGTGGCCTATGATGCCATTTAGCGCCAGTGTTTCTCTGGTTACATTCTGTCCATTGGTGAAAGTCAACTAGTGTGTTGGGGTTAATCTGTGACTTAATACCTAGTGGTGTTTGAGTTTTGAAATTGGATGCAGCCAATTTTGGTGGACTTATGTTTATAATAAATATCCTCTTGGTAGATTGAAATGAAGTGGCCTACTTTGTAATCTCTGATTAGTTTTGGCTTGAGTCTTTTGTGTTAGTTCAGGATGGCTGTGCCTGCTTGTTTCCCAGTCCCATTTGCCTAGACTATTTCTTTCCATCTTTCACTCTAAGGTTGTATCTAGCCAAGAAAGCAGGGTTTCTTTTGTGTAGAAACCAAAAGGTAGACACTGTTTTCTAATTCAGTGGGTTAGTCTGTGTCCTTTGATTGGAGAATTAAAGCAGATGTCGGAGGCCATATTGGTCAGGCACCTACAGCAAGGTTCTTAGGTCAGAGTGGGTAGGGTCAAAGCTGAGGAAGTCAGGTGTGTGCTGGATGCCTGAAGCGAAGTGTGTAGGTGCATGCGAAGCTTTTGAGCCACCAAAGAGTGTCAAAGCCAAAAGTAATGACACTAGAAGGAACAGGAGACTGAAACTGGACATTTCATTTCTTCTGATAAAGTTCAGATGAAATGAGATGCAACAATTACTTTAAACTCCATACAGAGGTTTAACTCCTTAGCAACCAGATGAAGACTAGAAAAGTGTGTTACTTAAAGAGCAAGACTACACAGGCTGCTCAGTTGCAGCTGCTGCCAGGACACAAGGTCAGGCCTGCCTCGGTTTTTTTTTTCCTTTTATTTGCTTCTAAATAACCAGATCAAATCTCACAGGAATGTTTTGCCTGGTGTACAGAATTCTCTCAAATGACTGCTTTCCACCACAGCATATAGAAAGATTGTGAAGATGAAATTATCTTTAATTTGCTACCTGGGAAAAGCCTAAGACACATCTGTTTATTATCTACACATGAATAGTGTCATATAGAACCTTTGGGAAAGCTGTATCAATGAGGAGAGAAGCTGAAAACGGTCTCATTCTGAGCTGCTAAATGAATCCACTCACCTCACTGGCCATCTCAGATGCTCGCTTCGCTCTCTGAATATCAAGAACTTCTGAACTAAGTTCCATTCCTTTCCCTTTGATTTCATTTTCCAAATCTTTTTTATATTCTTTCTACAAGACAAGAATAGAAAATTTCATTTGAAGGTATCTCCACAATTGCTTTAACTCATATACCAGCTTACAAGTCTTCTAGAGACCACAAACAGGAAAAAATATTGTTAGGAAGGAAAAATTAGATGCTGAACATTCTTGCCAATTTCCCACTGACGTTTCATTTTCTCCTCTATCAAATTCAAAGTGACATCCATATTACCAGTGTTTCGTGCTTTCTCCTAATATCGTTTGGCATCATACTAAGCTTCTTTAAAAAGATATCTTCCCTTTAAGTGTTGGAGGAAATCTTAAGAATACATATGCTTCTTATTATTTGAAATGATTTTTAAAATATCTATTTGATGTGAATTTCTAAAAGAACTTACTGGAAAAGAATTACAAAGCCAAAGCTTGCTATAGCTAGAGGTGTTTTAAAGTTTGTATTTTATTCAAAAATCTGTTTTTAAAAACAAATAATTTTCTTGAAGCTGATAAGAGATTTTGAATATCTGTCTTAATATATATTTTCAAAAAATTTTTTACATATAGCCTAGGCTGGCCTAGAAATCACATATAAATAAATATGGCCTTGAAATTCTAATCTTTCTCCCCCTACATTTGGAATTCTAGGATTATAGGTATGTACTTCCTAATTCATTTTATGAGGTGCAGGGATGGAACCCAGAGAGCTTTGTGCATGCTAGGCAAGCACTCTGCCAACTGGGCTATATCCCAAACTTTGATACTACATTTTAAGTAAACAGTTGCTTTACACCAACTCTTGTATTCTCTACTGAGAATCTGTTGATTTCCTTACTTATTTGTACTGTAAAATTCCATCAAATTGGGTTTCATTTTATGACTATTTTGCTAAATGAAAGATAAAATTTCTTTTAATGACAAGAAATCAGGTTCCTGTTAGTTCTGGAGTTTCTCTCTCTCTCTCTCTCTCTCTCTCTCTCTCTCTCTCTCTCTCTCTCTCTCCCTCCCTCCCTCCCTCCCTCCCTCCCTCTCTCTCTCTCTCTCTCTCTCTCTCTCTCTCTCACACACACACACACACATACACACACACACTCCCATCCTGTATCATTAAATTAGTCTGACTTCTGATCAAACAATAGCTTTCAGAAACATTGTCAAGACTGTCTATGATTTTAGAAATAGCTCTTAGTCAAATGACCTTGATGAAAGTCACAACATTTCTACTAATTTGGTCAGGTGACCTTTAGGAGGCATTTGAGTAACTCAGTCTCCATTTCCATCTTGGAAAAGAAATAAAATAAATGTCCTATTAATACCAAAGGGCAATGGAGGAAAATCAGGCAAAATATTGGAGCAGCCAAAGGCCTTTAATAAAACATACATCTTAAAATATAAAATGATACTTAGGAGACTCTACACGGCAATATAAAACCATAAAGTAAGGAGTATAGAATTCATTAAAGCTAAGGGCTTATACGTAAAAATTTCTAATTATATCAAGTAACCAAGTGGATTTTTCAACTAGCTATCTCTATGTAACTAAAAGATTAGCCACAGCCATTATGAATGAAATACTTGCATCCTTCCCAAAATCTGTATGTTGAAGCCCCAGCTCCCTTGGGAAGTATTTCCATGGGGATATGAGGATAGGTAGGGACCATGCTGAGATTAAACGCTCCACAGAAAAAGAGACTAGTATTCCTTCTTCTGCTGTGGTGATGCAGAAAGCAGCCATCAGCAAAACAGGAGCAGGGCTCTCAGGGAGCCAAATCTACCAGCAATTTGACTTGAGGGTTCTTGGTTTTCAGAACCAGGACAACTGTCTGATTTAGAACCACTCAGTTTACAATATTTCCTTATAATAACCCCAACTGCCTGCTCCAATGAACAGTTTTATGGGCCTTTTCCTGTCCTGTTCAGACATTCAGAATCCTAAGTACAAAATGTTATCAATTAAATCTTGCTATTTTAGTTCTATGAAACTCAAATTATCGTTGCTCGGACTACTTCCTTTGAAAGAATTAGAATCATATTTTCTGCCATTAAGAAGGAAGAAAGGGGGGCTGGAGAGATGGCTCAATGCTTAAGAGCACTGATTGCTCTTCCAAAGGTCCTGAGTTCAATTGTCAGCAACCATATGGTGGCTCATAGCTATCTGTTAATGGGATCCTATGCCCTCTTCTGGTGTTTGAAGAGAGCAACAGTGTACTCACATACATAAAATGAATCTTTAAGAAAGAAAGAAAGAAAGAAAGAAAGAAAGAAAGAAAGAAAGAAAGAAAGAAAGAAAGAAAGAAAGGAAGGAAGGAAGGAAGGAAGGAAGGAAGGAAGAAGAAAGGAATAAAAGGGAAGAGTTGAGAGCCAATCTCACTTTGTCACCTGTGTTTCAATGGTTGAAAGATCCTACTTTAGCATGCACACAGCAGTGCAGCTTTACAATGGAGAGCAGTACCAGGACATCACCATTTACTTGTTCTTGGCTTCAAAGAAAATTTACACAAATAGGAAGCGACAAAAGGGGATGAGGCAAAAGCTGTATTGCTATTCCAAGAAATCGGAGTAATGTCTGATGTCACATAAGCAGCAAAAGCCAGCTGTCGTTTGCTTATTAAAAGTTCATGATTAAAAGTCCACCTCCAGCTGGAACTCATGCTTCAATTCATTCCACTGGTTTAGGACATTTCTTTCAGAGGAATCATTTCTTCGATTCAAAAACTTATAATAAGACTTCAGTTTTCTTTTTATGGGTGTATCCTACTCATACATTATATCATAGATTACATTAACATATAATCATTTAAATGAACATGTCACAGAAGAGTTAGCTTTCAGCCATGTGGGGGAAATCGATTAATGTTTTAAAGTGTTGAAGAACAAGTATAATGTTTTGGTTTATTTAAGTTAAGACATTTAATATTTAACAAATTTAGTACATTAATTGTGAACCAAATTTTAATTAAATTATCAAGAAAATTTCTATGGAAATGAAAGCAAAGAAAACAGTATGAGTTATTCTGCTCTATACACTAACTCTATAATTTTTCTCTTAGATAATAGAGAAAGAACTTTTGAATAAATCATATATTCAGACTTTTCCATGTGAGTACTTCATCTCTGATATCAAATGTCATGATGCTACAGGGAAACTGCCCAAGAGATGAGAGATGATTCAGCAGTTAAGAATATGTGCTACTCATCCAGAGGACTCGAGTAGGGCTCCCAGTTTGGATGGCTCACACCTTCAGGTCTACTACCCTCTTCTGGCCTCCACAGATACTGCACTCGTGTACAAATTCACACATGTACACATAATTAAAAATTAAGATTAAAATTTTCAAAAAGTAAAGCTGGTTATAGAATATGTTTTATGATAACTATAAAAATCAAGCTTTCAAGAAAGTGGTTTTCTCAACCAGCTGGTGGTGACATACACCTGTAACCCTAGCACTGGAATATGTCTGAAATCCTAGCACTCCAGAGACAGAGGCAGGCAGCCTCTGTAAGCTCAAGGCTGGCCTGGTCTAAAGAGTGAGTTCTATGACATACAGAACTGCAATTGCACCAAGGAATGTACAGAGAAATGTTGCCTTGAAAAATAAGCAAAACAGAAAGAGAAAAGGAAAAGAAAAAGAAAGTGGTTTTCTCAGGACAAGAAGTATCCATTGTTCTCTCCCCGTGTGCTGATCCCTGAGACTTCCAGGAATTGGAAAACTCGGCTGCATAATTCGTGATAGTGGGTACTACATGCATTCACCTCTCCCCAAATATTACATGCAAGCATATACATGTACATATACATATATATATCATATACATACAAACATATACATGTACATATACATATATATCATATACATACATAAATAATATGGCTATATAAGAGAGAATCAATCTTCTATTTAATATTTTTTGTAAAAAACAGTTGCTATGAAGCTATAAAGCTCACTACTTACAGAACCTTCTGAACTACAATCACAATGAAAAGCAGAATATTTTCAAAATTTCCCCCAGAAAATCTGGATAATTTCTTCCTTCAGTAAATAATCACATTAACTCCTACTTTCTTATGTTAAGAAAATGCAAGGCTATGTCAGTGAGGGCCAGAATCAAGAGTCCACATCTCAAATATGCAGTTAGCAAAGAATTACTTAGCATATGTTTCTGGAGTGACTTCTTCCACTTCCCTCCTTGGTGACATCTAATATAAACTTGCAAGGCCCTATCATAACTTCTAATATAAATTCCAAGGCCATACCTCCCTCATCAGGTTGGTGATATGCTTCACATGTAGAAATGCAGGAGTCTTGTCTAAATCCAGTGAAGACCTTCCTTTAATTTCCTTCTCAAAATCTTCTTTGTAAATTTTCTGTTGAATAAAGATATCATATTCAATATAAGGAACTCTAGTGAGTATAAAAGTATTCATTCTCAGAAAAAAACTGGTGTTTTTTCATGTAATTCTACCATCTCTGTTTTCTTTATTATTTTAGTAATGTATCATAAAAACTTTCAAACAACAGCAACAACAACACCAACAAACCTCACTCAGCAAAATTAACTAGTCTTATTAACAGCAGAAAAATAATTCCAACTTTGTCAAGGGTTCTACAAGAGAGGAATAGTGTTACCAAATGCTGAATAAAGGCATGGAACACTTTATGTGACTAACATCTCTCTATTTTACAGGAAGGATAAGACAGGCTCTCTGATGGATCATCAGATGACATCACTCAAAGTGAAGTATAGCTCATATACTGGAAGAAAATCTGGTGGCATAGAAGGCAATTCAAATTCTACAGTAGTATAAATGTTCAGGGCTTTGTTATCCTTCTCAACACCAGTCTACTGTGAGTCTGTGAGAAACAATTTTAAAATAGAAAACAGGTGTTCTGTTGCTTGATGACTTGAGCACTGGGAATATTTATTTACTACTTATACATGTTCATATGGATGAAGCTACACTCTAGGATAACCTTGTCATAATGTGCTGGGTCTTTCTTTAATGATAGTTCACAACAGCACCTGGAGGTACTCCATGATTAAAAACTTACGCGTAAAGCAGGAAAGTAAAAACTACATGCTACACACATCATGCAGGTCACATGAGAAATGGGAGATGTCTGTGGTGATCGTGTTGGTGAGGAACTAAATCTATGAGGAACCTTGCCTTTCAGGCCTGCTTTGACATCTTTAGGGACAGCTATTATTTCTAGCATCTATCTGAGTTACACACCTGAAAACCAATGATAACCCCTATCTTATTTTTAAAGATTTATATATTTTCATTCTATGTGTTTGAGTGTTTTGTCTGTGTGTATATATGAACAGAATGTATGATGCCCATGGAGGCCAGAAGAGAGCACTGGATTCACTGAACCTGGGGTTAGATAGGCTGTACGATGCCACATGGGTGTTGGATACCGAACCTAAGTCTTCTGCAACAGCAGAAAGTTTTTTTTAACCAATAAGCCATGTCTCCAACCCTAATAGCCCTTGTTTTATGATTACAAAGATGATCTCTTCAAATTACCAAAGCATCCATTCCCCTGAAATGTTTACTAAACAGGAGCCAGATCTACCAAATAATTTATTCAAAATATATCATAAAGATGATAAGATAAACAAATTGTGCCTGAGATTGTTATTCGTGCAAAATGGGAGGCTATTTCTAGGTTCATTATGCATTTATTATTTTTTTTTAAAAAAAGGTAACTGTGAAAACATTTTCTCCAAACCTGGAGAGATGAAGAGAAACTTGCTGTCTCCTCATACAGCGTTGTACCACTCAGCCAATCATGAGCTATGAGAAAAGGCTGGGGTGGACAGATGCTCTGCAAATCAATCAAGAAGCTTCACTGAAGGCACTTTGAGTTAAAGAACCAGAAAAAAATTAAGAGAAATTGTTCTTTTTTTATGTAGAACTAATATTGGGACAACATGACTATACATCCCAACCCTATGACATTTATAGGCTGAACAGATTCTTTATAAAATAGGACAAAGTGTGTATATGCATTTATTTATATTAGATATGTCACTTCAAAGAGACTTGTCTGGAGGAAAATCACTGCAGTAAGTCACTAAGAGTGGGTAGTTTTCTCCTAACTGGCCTGCCTTGTCTGGCCTTAGTGGTAGAGGATGTGCCTAGCCCTGCAGTGACTTATTGTGCCAGGGTGAGGGAATACCCAGGGAGGGCTTGGACACTCTCAGAGAAGAGGAAGGGGTGGGACTCTGTGATGGAGGGTCTGGAGGGGCCAGCTATCAAGATATAAAGTGAATAAAAAAATACTTCAGAAAACATTAAAGACTTTGTGAACTTTGGAATTCCTTCTTTAAGACAAATTTGAATTAACAATAATAATAATAAAATAATAATAAATGGCTGGAACTCTATCAGAATAGGCAGCTCTAACTTTCCTGATTCCCTAAAAGGCACAGAATAAGTATCTCTTTTCCTCACCTTTTAAATCTAAAAGGAAGGAAGGAAGGAAGGAAGGAAGGAAGGAAGG